AAACGGTCAATGTTATCAAAATTTTCAAAGAGTGATAAAAGTTTCTAAAATAAATTTTCTATTAAAAAGTACAAAAATAAATGTAGGGTTACGAGCGAACAAAAAAGTTCTGAGCAAACAAATTTTAGGGACATCCTGTATAGCATGGTTGCCGCCGCCCGATCAAAGTCAAAATTGGTTCAATGATTTTGCTTGATATTTGTTTACCCTCTACCAAATTTCAACGCTCTACCATAAATGGTATTGAAAATATTTAGAAAAATGTGTTAAAATTTCTGAACTTTGATGGCCCATATCTTGGCCATTTGAAGACTTTTATAATAATTTTTTTCACGAATCATCATCATTTTTGCTCTAGTATATGAGGTTAATTTTATGCCCCGAGTCACCGGAACACCCTGTATAGGAGTAAATTTGTTATCATTATTTATTTTTATTCGACAGCGCGTTAAAAGACGAAAAAGAATGGAATGCAGTGGAATGCTCTAACAAGCGGACACTACCGCTTCCGATATCGGAAATGTCTGCATAAGAGAGTGCCTAAACAAAGAGAAATTCGGGATTCGGTCCAAGGTATTTGTCCGGTTATAAGAAATGTTAGGTTGTTAGAGCGTCCGCGTACTACAGCTTTCACTATAATATATATCATATATCATAAAATACTTAATTTTTGTTAATTGTATAGATATTTTTTAATTTCCACCAATTTTAGAGTAATCAGACAAAAATATCTCTTTGGCCAACATTTTTAACTAATTCGCTTCTGTGCGGCGCCGGCAGCAGAGGCACTCCCTAAATAAAAATATATAAAATATACTTTTATTTTTGCGCTCCCCCGAAAATAAGCCCTAGCGCGTATTTTCGGAAAAAGACGGTATGTCCTAGTAAAGTTTCCCGATTAAAAACTGAACCACCCTGTATATCACAAATTTTAAAATAAATTAATAATTATTTGAAATATTCACAATTATCTATCTTCCATTCCCCTGTATATTCAATTTTGTGAACAACTGTATATCCCTTTAGCTCTCAGGTACAGATTTATGCATAAATTTCTTACATGTAGTGCTGCTTGTGTTAAAGGTATTACAGCGATGATGTGGTAGAGTTTATAATTCGGAGATTTTGTCTAAATAAAAACAATTTTTTAGTTTTTATTCATGTATGTGTTGCTGAAATACTTACAATTTTATTAAATATATCGGAATTCGAAAAGGATATGGTGAGCCTATTCAAAATTTTTAGCTTCGTATTATTCTGAAAAGAAATGCATTTTGTATTCACTTATAAAAATCAAATTATTTGGTAAGACATACCTACCTTTTATAATTAAAAATTAAGAATGCTATTAGGAATAATATAATAAAAATGTAAAAATCCATTTTGGGCGGGCGTTAATACTAAATAACTTATCTTGTATGATATGCATTATTTAACACATGTGTAAACATAACCAAAAAATTTTTATAAAATCAAGCAAAAACTGGATACTTTTAAAATAACGTTAATTAGCTATAATTTATTATTATTAGACGTAATTTTGAATTATTTGTTTATTATTTATTTATAAAAAATATCTAATAAAAATAATTTTGTAAGTTATGCAACTTAATAAGCACGCTAGTAATTTGAGTTATCTATCAAAATTTTATTATAAATTATTTATTTAAATCTTAATTAAATTAGACCTTCATTATTTATATTTACTTACATGATTTATCTAATAAATTAGTTAACTTTACCTCAAACTTTTTTACATCCACCGGAACAGGTACAATATCTAAATTATCTCTAGGCTCCCCCTTTTTCTTTTTCTTCCTTGGCTCTTGATTAGACTCATGCAATATTTGATTAATTGCAATAGTTCGATATCCCCCTAAAATTCATAACTACTCAATCAACAAAGAATTTTTTTTTTTTAAATTATACATTCGTCAAGTTTTTTAGCAGTTACTACAAAATCTTCATCTATAACACACGCTTCTGATATACAATAATCGAAATAACCTTCCGCCGTTTGCATTTTAAAACTATCTTAATATATCTTAATAATTAGAGTTTTATAATTTATTTATTATTGAGGTTAAGTTTGTATTTGACATGTGTGAGTCTACTGCGCATGCGTATATTTTTAACATAACCTCACTAATCAAACTTTACATTTTAAGGTTATAAATGTTGGCTAACAAATATTTTAGAAGTTACTCCCTTTTAAAACAATGTTTATGCGGAATGGTACACAAAAATGTATTAAAAAATAAATTCTCCACTAAAAAAGATAAGGAAGACACAAACATTGATGATTTACTCGGCGAAATTGGTTCCAAATATAAAGTTTTTAAAGATACCGATTCTAAAGAAATAAAAGATGTTTATGAGAATAAATTTAAATATACCGACTTATTAGAACTTGAAAAAGAAAGCGTTGATCCCTTATTTGGTTTAAATTTACAACGTAAGTTAATTTTTTGTTAAAACAAATTTTTTATCGAGTTTATTTATTTTGTTTAGGTGGTCTAAATGGTGTTTTTGAAATTGAAGACTTAGTAGATGTTTTAAAACGCGAAAATGCTGAAGATATATTTGTGGCTTCCGTTCCGGAACATCTACAATATGTAAATTATATGGTTATTGTCACTGGAAAATCGTTTCGGCATATGAAAGCAATCGCTCAATTTGTGAGAAGAGTTTTTAAAAATAAAAGAGGCCAAGGTGATGTTGTACCTAGATTAGAAGGAGAAAATTCTAAAGAGTGGATGGCTTTAGATTTAGGTTGATAAGAATTCTTTGGGTATAATTCAAGAATCATGTGTCTTAAAAATCAATCATTTTTTTTAATCACTCAAGTAAGTCGTTACAAATAAAAAAAAGTGCAGAAATGTGTAAAACTTACCGAAAAATCACTTTAAAGTTTCGACGTGACATCCCTTTTTGTGACGTCATTGATCATGGTAACCATATACAGGATGGTTCAGTTTTTAATTGAGAAACTTTACTAGGATAATAATAATAATAAACATATTTATTAACTCAGAGAAAACTACAATAATAAAAATAAAACTAAATATAACATTGGCAACAATAATATAAATTAAAAGGAATTACAGAATAAATTCTGAGCCAAAAAGGATCGAGTCCTGTCTTACCATTAAGTAACACTGTTTTTCATCGATTCTTTTTAACGAGAGAAAAACAAATAGCAAATGTGTAATGGATAAAAAAAAATCAAATGGAATACAAGGCCAAAAACTAGGTATTATTTGAAAAGAAAAAACAAAAGAATAGTTGTTTATGACAACTATTCCCCGACAAAATATTGGAAAAGGTCAACCCGCTGCCGTCTATGATAACTTGGTCCCTTTTGGGGTTTCATATAGGGTATTTAATTTTGTTTCATTAAAAACCATAAAATAATTTGCTTAACAACTAACTTTATTGATAGCTAAAATAATACTACTTGCAATATTAATTATTACACTATTCAAACGGTTCACTGCGCGTGTTCATCAATTAGGCAATCAGTCAACGACCAAAAATGCTTACTCCACGAGCCTCACAGTTCATCGTCTTTTACTTAATGCTACTTATGCTATTTTTTATAATTTACACTTGTTTCTAATTAATTTCTAATTATAATTTTATTTATTCCACTACATCTCCCTTATTGTTAAAGAAAATTTAAACATCTTAATGTTTTAAATTTTCATGTTAAATTTTATTTATTCCACTACATTTCTATAACAATTAAATCTTAAATTCTATAATCTATTATAATTAAATTTACATAACACTACACGTAACAGTCTCTTTTTTATGCACTGTATTTTTTCACTCTGTTTTTATGCACAGTTACTAATTTATTGTTAATTTTTATAATTATGTTAGGGGATTCATCTTTAATTACTTTGTATGGACCCTTATAAATAGCTTCTAGTTTATTGTTAGTTTCGCTTTTTAATAATACTTTATCATTTGAAAAATGTTTGGGAAAAAATAAACTCCGGGCAAGCCAGATATTTATTTTGGAACGGATTAAACTCCGGGCAGGCCAGACGTCTAATCCAGAAAGGAAATGAGCATTACGAAGATATCAATAATACTATTTATTAATTCAAAATTTGGGGTTTATATACAAATCTTAATGCTAACTTAACAATTAATAAGCGATTAAAAAACTAATTAATTTAGGTCGCATAATTGCGCGCGGTGTGCGTTACGCAATTATGCGGTGCGAGCGATGCGTTTGGTCAGCGACGTTTGGTAATTTGTCTGCTGACCTTATTAAAAGAAGTAAAAAATTAAAAGAAAAATTGAATAAAATATTGTTTAATCGAGATTAAACATTATGCTTGTCCTGTACGGGATTGCATACAGAATACCCAGAAAAATGGATTGGGCGTCGTGGTTCGATTACGTGGCCTCCTCATTCTCTGGGTCTAAATCCACTTGATTTTCTTATTAGGATTGCATAAAAGAAACAGTGTATTAAAAACCGATTGAAAATCTTGCCGAACTGCGCCACAATATTTATACAGCAGGAGAAGAAATAAATGCAAAGAGATTTGCACAACAAGTAAAAAGATCTTTTCTGTGACGATGCAGAGTTTGTATTAGTGCCGACGGCAAATAATTTGATCATTTGCCTTAGTTTTAAGATAATAATGCTATAAAATTAATAATAAATAAATTTGTTTGTTTAATTTTGTCTTTAGGTTAACCTTATTTGAAAGAGTCTTTTTGCAAGACATAAGGGCAACCATCTTGTTGAAACCACATTTTGTAGTTCGTAGATATTGTCTGGCACATCTTTTAACAAAGTTAAGAGAAAATAAAAAGTAAATACAGATAACATACAAAAGTATGAATTTTTTAAATAACGTGTTTTTTGCAGAAAAACAAGCAATAATATTTTTTATGACAACAAAAATGGCAAGTGTTGTACCATTTTGGAAACATGATTAAATAGACCATCTTTTAAAATAACTTGCCAAGGGTGTTGTACTACTCCTTTTTTTAGAATTCGTGTTTCAAACTTAATAGACATAAATTGTTTCAACCTTAACTCAATCAAACTAATATTTTTTTGCAAAACTAACGGCTTCTGTTGTTTGATTTGTGAATTCTATAGTAGCATGGTTCATAAGGAATATATGTGACCTGGTCTACGAAAAGGGGGCTTACGTTCGAAAATAAGTTTTCGAGAAAATCGCTGTTAAAGATAAACAACTCGGTTCGTCAGTTTCTCGTTAGTTGTTCTCTTTTTTCTACGTTGGCCGGGGTTGAAAAATGTCAAAATTTTGTTTCAGCTCAGAATATTATCGTAGTTAATCGCGTAAGTTGCTAGTTCGGATTTCTAAACAAGTAACACTAAAGAAGTGATTTGGCCGTTTTTTTCGTAATGACGTTTATGTAATCGTTTCTGTTGGTCTTTCGCATCACAAAAAAATAACGAAAAATGAGTGTTGATGAGGAGTTCAGTGCCGTGTACAGACAATATTTTCTTGAAAACGATGAAGACAACGTCCAGGACAATGGCATGTCCGACAACGATCTTAATTCGAATGGTGATGATGATTCACTACATTTCTCTCAGGCAGAAGATAATATGGAACAAAGTTGGGTTAGCTTAGAGTTGTCTGTTGTCGATGAAAAGGAAAAGGAGCTGGTAACCAATTTTCTCTCAAAAGATTGTTGTAATAATAAATGCCATACAATGATACCACAAAAAATGATCGAGAATACGAGAAACAATTGTTTAGAGATATCAAAAAATGAACTCGACTTAGTGATATTAAGTCGTATCGAAGCCGGAAAGATGTGTAACGAGGAATTAGAAAGTGTTTATTTAAAGCTTGCTGGTCGGAAGAAATATGGACAAAGAAAGGATAGAGAAACTAGGAGGCATAAGATCGAATTTACCTTCTACAACGTACCTGTTTGTCATTCGTTTTTTCTTTTTGCACATGCATGTGGGAAGAAGCGTTACGAACACTTAGTACATCATTTTCAAGAACACGGTGCAACAGTACGACTACATGGACTAGCAAATAAAGAATGTACAAATCCGAAATCGTTTAAACCGGCCGATATCCAAAAAGTTGTCAAATTCATTGAGTACACAGCCGATTTATTGGCTGTTCCACTGCCCGGAAGACTTCCACAATTTAAAGATTATCGTGTCATGAAATTGCCATCGAACGAGACAAAGTCTTCAATTTATCGAAAGTACATTGCTTCACTCAATAATGACGAATTGAATATGACTAATCAAAGTTTTCGACGCATATGGAACAAGTACATACCCTATGTTACAGTAATGAAACCAGCGGATGATCTCTGCGATTTCTGTCGTGGTAAGTAGGTCATTGTTTGCTTATTCTACGGTTGTATGAAACGATGAGATTGAATTGAGTCTTCTTTTTCAATAGAAAACACGCTATCTATTGCGCAAGTCAAAAACGTTCCTGACATTGAACGAGAACAGAAGCTGAATAAATTTCTCAATCATCTTCACAAAGCTCGAAATCAACGAGCATATTATCAAAATTGGTGTGAACATACTGATGATACGGCAAAGGTTCTGTCATTCGATTTTGCTCAAACGGTCCGTTACCCCGTCAGTCCACAACAACCCGCTACGGCTTACTTTAAAGCAACGAAGAAGTGCGCACTCTTTGGAATTACAGACGAAAAACAAAAAGTTCAGGTTTGGATTTCAAACTGTGTCATACGAACTCAAATTCCTCGGTTTTTACAAGGTCTTGCTTATAATTCTTTTTTACAGTATAATTACTTAATAGACGAAAAAGATGACGTGGGCAAAGGACCGAACTGCGTTGTGAGCATTCTGCATTATCACCTGCAAACCTACCGTAAGGATATAGAAACACTTGTTTTTTTCTGCGACAATTGCGTTGGGCAGAACAAAAATAATGTTCTGCTGTCGTATTTGCAATGGCGACTGGCTCGAGGACTTAACAAAACGGTTTTATTAAATTTCCTGCTTACTGGTCATAGGAAATTTACGTCCGATCGTTTCTTCGGCATTTTTAAGGCCAAGTACGCCATCAGTAACATCGACACGTATGAAGATTTACTGAAGTGCGTGGTACAATCGTCACCAGGTGGTTATAATAAAGTTGTATCCTCCGAGAAAGTTGTTTGGTATGAATGGGACAGCTATCTTAAACCATTCTATAAATCACTGATTGGCATAACACAATTTCATCACTTCATAATCACTACGGACTATGTAAAACCGAAGCAATTCGCAGACAGTGAGGACGTCCAGTCGTTTCAGCTCCTGTTAAAACCTATCGATGGTCGAATGCCGGAAATTATACAACCAACTGGTTTATCTTTAGAACGGCAGTGGTATATCTATAACAATCTTCGCAGCTTAGTTTCGGATGCAAGTAAAGTAGATATGGTAGCTCCATTATCCAAGAGAGAGTTGGCATCGAAGAAACGAAATGTTAGTGATGTTCTCAAACCAGAAGCGGAACAAGATCCATCTTCCTCACAACCTACATGTAAAAAGGTTTCAAAAAAGACGACGACGAACAAAAATACAAAAACTACTTAGTATTGTAAAATATATGCGTAGAATATGTTGTTTTGGCCTAGAATACATTTTTCGGGAGTATAATCATATTTTTTATCTTATAATTCGATGTATTTTTCCAGCAAAAATTTCTGTTTTTTTTCGTATTTGTACTCCACTTCCTCTTCATTTTTAGTGAACTTTTAAATAAGTCACGACTTTTTGGTTTTCACCATTGGAAAGAGAGTCTGAATCGGTAGAAAAGTGGAAAATGATTTTTTGACACCTAAGCCCCTTATTCGTAGACCAGGTCACATATTATTAAAAAAATCACTATTAAATTGCGAACATTTCTGATGGGAACGATTTTTAACATTTTCAAAAATATGTCTATTACCACTTAACTGAGAGAGATGGAATTTTTTTCGTATTCTTGTTGACCTCTCATCCAGTACCCTTCACCTTCTAGAACAGATGTACAAAATTAGTCAGTATTGAATGATACATTTTATAACATTAACATTTACTGTCCTAAAGTGTTACAAATGGAGAGTTGAGAAAGACGCGTAATATTGGTAAAGCAATAATGGAGACAATGAATTGTTAATTCCGAATTTAAGTTGGTGATTTCATAAGATGCAATCGATTGGAGTAACATGTACCAAATAAATTATGGCCATTTTGATAAATTGTACATCCATGCCCATTCTCATAAATAATTTTTGTGTGTTTTTAGAAATCGAACTTAATTGATACTTTCTAGTTCTAGGTCGAGTGTTAGTTCTAGCTTTACACTAGCACTATCACTAGAACTAACACAAGACCTAGGCTAGAATCATTCGGGTTTAGTCGTTCTAAGATACGTGGGGCTAACTCCGAATGTTTCTAGTTTTCGGTCTAGTGGTAGTTCTAGTTTTGCATTAGAACTAACACAAGACCTAGAACTAGAATCATTCAGGTTTAGCTGTCTTAAGAGACGTACGGCTAAACCCGAATGTTTCTGGTTCTAGGTCTAGTGTTAGTTCTAGTGACTGTGATTGGTAGCGCTAGTAAGCATAAGATATCACTATGTTACACATTTTTATTGCACTAAAACTAGAACTAACACAAGACCTAGAACTAGAATCATTCGGGTTTAGCCGTCTTGAGAGACGTGCGGCTAAATCCGAATGATTCTAGTTCTAGGTCTTTTGTTAGTTCTAGTATAAACAGAGAGTCTGTTGACACACAGTCTATTGATACACGTCACATCGAAATTTTAAAGTGAATTTTCGGTATGTTTCACAGTTTCCGCACTTTCTTTTTATTTTTAACGAATTTTTTGGGTCATATCGATTAAAAAAAATCGTCGATTTTTAAGCCACATGATTCTTGAATTTTTCCACTCTTTGTTTGATTTTTATTGATTCATAAATAATTTTAGGTAATATAGCTTTGCATATTTTCTCACCTGAAGGAAGAACGAAATATGATTTAGATACTTTATGGGCTGTTGGGCCTCAATTCGATAAAGAAACAAATAGGGAAGATCCGTTAGCTAAAATTTTAGAGAAACACTCGTTTTATCTCAATGATTTAGTACCAGCTCGCTAAATAAGAAAATTTGTTATTAAAAAATTGTAAATGCGTTATCAATAAAGTATTAATTTTCTATTGTTATTATAAACTTTTAATTATAACACTTTATTACTTAATTCACTTAACCTAATTAATTTATAAAAACAATGTAAAGAATAGTTTTTTTTTGGGATTACAGATTAGATATTACTATGTAAATTTTAGATAAGATAAAATTCTGTGACATGATTCAAAAAATAACCAGTGAATCATAATGTTTTCAACAGAATGGTTTTCAAAGTTTTTAGATTTTCGTTAAAATGAGATTTGTTACCACAAAATGACTAAATCGGAATCGATTTATAAACGAACTGTTGTTGTGACTCGAACAATATTAGGATACGAATTAAGTGCAAAACAAGATGTGATCGCGAATTATTTAATACCAGCAATAACCGGTTGTTTATGTTACATATTATTATTTGCGGCGGATTTAGGAACAGTTTATAGACATTTTGAAGAAGAAAATCCAGTATGGGCTTCACTAACTTTATTGTTTATGTTTCTACCGGTTATAGGATGTTTTATTTGGGTGATATCATCGTGGGAGTTATGGCCTGAAATTGAAGGATGCGGACGTAACAATGTGAAATGGGCTTTATGGAAAGTTTTGCAACATTTCTTTTTTCCAGTATGGAGTATGTGGAGGTAAAAAAACTTTCCTTCGAAAATGATATATTGGATTATTCTTTGTATTGATGTTTAGATACGCCGAAAAAATATTTTGGTCTATTGAAGCATTAATTCAAATCAACGATGAAGAAAAAAAAGATGAAGCATTAGAAAATGTAAACGCTCCTAGAATTATTGAGTTTTACTTTTTTCTTCAAGCGTTTTTACAAGGTATCCCACAAATTATTTTACAAATTCACATTTTATTAAGAGTTTCCACTCTTATTGATATTTCAACAAGTAAGTATTATTAATAAGTATTTTAAAAAATTTTAATTTTCTTTTTATTGAACTAAAACTAGAACTAACACTAGCACTATTACTAGAGCTAACACTAGACCTAGAAGTAGAAACTTGTGGGTTAAGCCCTTTTGGGATGCTATGTTGCAACCTTCTTCAGCTCAGGCTTCATCCCATCACCATTTACAATAGATAAAAAGAATTTAAGGAAAAAAGGTTTTCTAGAAGATGTACCGTAGAAGAATGGCTACAGTCTGAGGGATATCCAGCAAACTACCAAACAACGTAAGCAGAAGGAATCTTGCAAGAAGATACCTTGCAATCCTTTTGGCACTTTTTTCCGTGGCATATCACGTCTCTCAACGTTAGTAATTACATGGGCGAGTTGTTCGCGGCTTTCAGCTAATTTAAATAGTTCTTTTGTACTGCGTATTCTGGTTCAATCACGAACGTCCCTTACCCATTTGCTTCCTTCCAATTCTCCATATGACCCTCGATTTTACCTTTCATTATGAGCCGAAGGATTTTGCATCTGCTGATCTACCTCCTCTAAGAATATATCCTAGGTAGGAACGTCATTACTCTATTTAACACTACATACTGCAATTGATCGTGATAGTTTCTAGATTCTAGATCTCAGCTTTATAACAACACAACCTTTGATCATTCTTTGACAAAATTTTCGGTTTAAGTTGTCATTAGATAAGAATAATTTCATTCTCAGAAAAGTTGTGCGAACTATTTCAATTCTGCATATATTCATACAAGATATCTGAATTGAGCAACTCTCACAATGTTTTACGACTGAATATCATAAATTTTGTCTTAGTGACATTCATTTTTAGACCCATTTATTGTTCTGTCGCATTTACACAATTGAATTACTCTTGAAGGCCCTGGATATTGTCACATAAGATTACCGTGTCGTCGGTATTTCGAATAGTATTAATCAGTGGTCACCATTGGTCTTCACTTCAACGTCTTTATCTTGCAGAGCCTATTTGAAAATTATATGTCTGACACCTCGTTGAATGCAATATTCGTCGGGCAAAACACTGATTCATGACTGAAATGCATACAGTAATTTTTAATTTAAATGACAGTTGGAATAAAATTTGTTTCATATGTATAGTATAATAATGTTTACTGTGAAATAATTAATAAGAAAATAAATCCTTTTTTTAAATAACAACATAACGTAAAATATACAAACTTTTTGTTACCATATCAAACGCATAACTACCTATATATTTTTACTGATACATCCACAAAACTAAATCTAGTTTCCTTCTTTTCTTTTGAAGTTCATGCAACACTTATTCGTGGGTAATTGTTATTGTTATTGGTTATCTATCCTCACTTATAATATTTCTTAAATATGTTTTCAACAATTTTGGAGTTGAAAATGTTCTCTCTGGAGTAGCTGTGCTTACTGGCAAGGTGCACAAAGTTTTCAATAACGTATAAATATGAGGAAAGATAATCGAATCACAAATTGATCATGCATTTAAAGGAGAATTGGGAAATTTTTCTGGTAAACTATTGTAAAACCTTCCCTACCAAAGTTTAAATTCACCAGCTACAACAGGTTTTGAGATGTCAACTAAATCATATTTATAAAATTCTACTAGCTGTTCAAATTTTAATAGTAGCCCTTCTAAATTTTCAATTTTTTCTAGTGATGGAACTGAACATCCAAACGCTACTAAGATATCTTTGTGTGCAATAAATCTCTCGTCTAATTGCATTATGACGTTGTCTAAGAATGGAATGATATTTTGTAATATTCTTCTGTAGTTTCTGTTTCAAAATTCACTTTATTTCTTTGTCTAAGTACAAGTCTTGGTCTTTTCAATTGTTGTCCAAATATATTCCACATTAATGTTTATCTCGACTTTGTCGTAATCAACCCAACTTGCATTTATGTCTGCAATGACCTGATTCAGTATTTCATCATTTTTAGTTCTCTCCTTTACCTCTTTTATTTCATTAGCTGACGTAGGTAAAAATTCTTACAACATTATTTCGTGAATCACACCCCCCAGCTCACTATCATCAATTAAATTTTCTTTTGACTGATTTTTTGGAAAGCATATCCGCAATATACATATGTTCTCCAGGCACATATTTTACTGTAATATCGTATTTTATCAATTTAAAATGCATACGTTGTATTTTAAAACTTCTTTTATGTATTTCTCCTTTCAAAATATTAACCAAAGGTTTATGGTCAGTATTAATTTTTATTTTGTTTCCAAAACAAATTGGTGAAATCTTTTGCATGCGAAAACCAAACCTAACATTTCTCTTTCTATTATTGGGTAATTAGTATGTGCTTTTGTAAGACTTGTTGACGCAAAACATACCGGATTGCTATCTTGCAGTAGGCAACATCCCAACCCATCTTTACTAGCATCTGTTTGTATAACTATGTCTTTATGTGAATCAAAATAACTAATAATAGGGTTTGTACTAACTAATTCCTGGCAGATGAGCTAGCACGAGAGGGCAGCGGTAAAGCGTTTGTGGGGCCGGAATCAGCAGTTGGTGTATCATTTGCGATGGCCAAATATAGGATTGGATTGTGGGCTGAAGAGAGACTTCGCCTACTATGGACCAGTTCTCGTGGAATGAGACATGCTAAGGTGTTTATTAACATCGCCACTGTCAAACCCGGGAATATTTTAGGATTTGCCCGTAGCAGCATAAAAGTTCTAATGGGTGTCTTTACTGGGCACTGCCGACTAAAAGCACACCTCACTTGTTGGGTTTAGCCGACGATGTTGAATGCCGACTATGTGTGGAGGAAGCAGAGACAATTGAGCATGTTTTATGCCACTGCGCTGCCATTAACCGTATCAGATTCTCAATTTTTGGGTCGCAGTTTATCTCCTCAAAGGATCTGAATGACCTTTCACCAAGCAAGGTATTCCCTTAAAGGTGCGGCAATTATCGATAAATTTGGTATAAAACTATGCAAAAAGTTTAACATCCCTAAAAACCTTTGTATATCTTTTTTGCATTCAGGAACAGGCATCTTTTGTATCGCTGTACTACGCTCTAAAAAAACCAAACCCAAATATTTTGACCTTATCTATTTTATATTGCATTTTATTTTTATTAAACTTAACATTGTGTTTTCTAGCTTTTTTAAAAACTTCTTCTAACGCTTTATCATGTTCTTTTACATTTTTAGCTGTAACAATATCATCAAAATATACCTGCACTCCAGGAATATCAACAAAGATTCTAGTACTTTCTCGTTTGAATACTTCTGGGCTACTACAAAGTCCAAAGGGTGAAATTTATATCTATCAAAGGATGTGCCAAAGATACAGATCTTTACTGACTTTTCGTCAAGTTGTATTTGATGAAATCCATCTTTCATGTCCAAAACACTGAACACAGTTTTTCTCACCAATTCACTTGCCAGTTCTTTTGTTGTTGGTATTGGGTAATGTTCTCTTTTTATGTAATGATTTAGTTCCTTCGGGTTAAGACAAATGCGCCAATGTGTCTTTCTTTTCCACAATAACCAAATTATTCACTCATTCTGTTGGTTCAGAAACTTCTGTAATTGTTCCTTTCTTCTCAAGTTTCTCTAATGTAAGCTGTAATTTTTTTTTATCACATCTGAAATTCTTCTTGCTGGTTTCACTTCGGTCGTGCGTCTTCTGTTCATTTTATTTTATATTTAAACGACAATTTACCGAAACCAGTAAATATATCTTTGTTTTTTTATTATCAATCTAACCCAAGTATTGGAGTATTTCCCTTTTTTACGATCACAAACTTCAGTTTTGTACATTTTCCTTTTTTATTATGATAGTCCAACGACATCCAAAGCTTTTATTAAATTGTCAAATCCCATTAAATTGCAATTTAAACTATCCATCTTTTCTTGTAGTCCAAGTTTTTTATACACTATTTTAGGCAACACGTTTACATCGGCACCAGTATCCAGTTTAAACTCAATCTGCTTTTTGTTAATTTTCAATGGATATGTCCACGTTTTCTTATTCTGGACATTCCTCACCTCACCAATCAATTAGAATCTTCATTTTCTTCAATTTGGTTGTATCTTCTTCTTTTCCTTTTTATAGTTTCTAAAATTATCCCTCTTTTCATTGCCCTTCCTGCCCTCGTTCATCCTTTTTCTACAAACTACTTTGAAATGTCCATATTTACCACAATTATTACATTTTCGATTGTATGCAGGACAATTTCGTACTTCATGTTCACAAGCACATTTTTTAGAATGATACTTATCTTGTTTTTTCTTTATTACATTTATTTCCTCGCTCTTTTCTTCTCGAAGTACTTCACTTGATGCTTACTTGCTTCATGAGCTCGACAAAATTATGCAGCTTCATTTAACGTTAACGTTGTTTCTCTCAACATTCTTTCTTGCAGATTAATATCTCTAATTCCTATTATCATCTTATCTCTTATTAGTGATTCCTCTTGTTGTTCAAATTCGAAATCCTTTGCTAAATTTTTTAGATCGGTTAAGTATTTTTCAAATGATTCTCCATCCTCTCGTTTTCTATTAAAAAATTTGAATCTATTGAACAACAAATTTTTTCTTGGGTTACAATACTGGTCGAAAGCTTCAATTGTCTTGTCATATTTTTTTCTTTCATCTTCTTTTATTTTAAACGTATTAAATAAATGTAGATCATCATCTCCAAGTGAATTTAATAACATAGCAATTTTAACTTCATCATCTTTACTTTCTTTTTCCGTAGCTTTTAAATAGATTTCAAATTTCTGTTTGAACAATTTCCAATTCTCACTTACATTTTCTGTAAAGTTCATTCCTTGCGAAGGTTTATACAATCCATTTTTTTTTCATTTTTCTTTTGCGTGATTACACCTGACACCATGTCATGTATTAGTGTTTTAACTAATAAAACACTCACGAATAGAGTTTTAATTTACTTTATCGCCAACCGGCAGCAAAACCATACTTTATGCTATCCACTTGCGGCAGTAAAGTGACACTTTGTGCTACTATCTAGTAAACTGTGCATTTAGCGGCAGGTATTGGTGGATTTGAACCCGGTACCTTCTACATGAAAGTGCACTTTCCTTTCCACTATACTACCGACCTTTGACCTCGAACTCGCCTCGCAACTTGGTACATAAATAACTATTATTAACAAAGTTATACGAGAATCTAATTTTTGACATAATGATCGTACATGTCACTTCTAGAATAATATGTCATGAAGCTGGTTGCTAATGCTACCAACATACACATAATACTGATGTTGCGTACCTCTTGGTGTGTGGAAGATTTTTGATTTCTAGCCATTTAGATTTTGGTATTATATGGTATTTGAAACCTCAAAGTTTCTCAAAAGACGCACGGTTTAACTCGAAAATGTCTAGGTCTAGTGTTAGTTCTTGAGATAGTACCAGTGTTTATTCTAGTTTTAGTTCAATTAACACCGGCTACTGATTAATAACAGTGAAAATCGTCGTACTGATATTCTTTTTCATTCTTTTCAGTTTACATCCAAGCATCAAGTATTATTTTAAATTTAATAAAATTATCAATAACAACTACTCAATATCAACGTTTTAAATCACAGAAATTAGGTGGAAAAGATTATCCTTGGTTTAAAGCCTATAAATATGATTATTGCCCTACAATTGACACTGTTGATGCTGCGGTGCCAACAAGAAGACGATTCGTACCACAAATTTCAAAGGTGGATAAAAAAGGAATTGTTTACGCAACAAGAGAAAATGCAGCTCGTTTAAAATTGGAAGTAGAATCTCGAAATAATACCCCATTACCAAGAAATCCAAGAATGACTCGAAGACCAAGTAGTGATTTGTATATGTTACCATCGGGAATAGTAGAGAATGTGGATAAAAATATTGATGTAATGGACGTTTTAAGAGAAACGTCGGTGATTGACGGACCACAAAGAAGGCTTTTCGTTGGATCTGATGATGAGTTTGTTTATCCACGACGTTTAAATGACATTAAAGGTCTTCCAGAAGATGATATTGTAGGAAAATTTATCGCTTTTTGTTGGTGGTTTAATTTTTTAATTGCTCGATTTTTGGCAATTTGTTCATTCGCGTATTTTTATCCAAAAGATATTATTTGGCTAATGAGTTTACATTTTGTTATAGTCGAAGCATTTTTACTATACGATGTTAAAACCATTTTTGTACGTCACACGAGGGCGGTATTTTTTATTTTTATCGGTTTGATTTATATCTTCTGTATTATAGAGTTTATGAAAAAATTTAAAAACGTCAAATTTGTGTATTACGGATTTTTCACATTGGTTTTTATCGAAAATTTTACTATGTGTGGCGTTTGGTTTAATTCATCCTATATGGATTATGATGGTTTTGTAAACGATTGGTGGTATCAGTATATTTTTTATATGGTTTTAATTTGTACGTTACTTAGTATGTCTTCTATGATTTTTTATATTATTATTAATAAACCAAAAAGTGTTGTTGTTGATGAGGAAGTTGTTCCTAATGAAATATGATTTTTATTAATATATTATTTAAGTAACTATAATCTTTTAATTATTCATATTATAAAATAATTACTAAATATTTTTCAACATTTTTTAAATTGTGTTAATGTTCTTTTATTTGATTTATCAATATAATTTTTCAAGTTTTTGTAAAAATATTTTTGAATGTTATCAAACGTACCCAGGTATATGTATTTTTTTAAAATTATTAAGGTTCTTGATATCATCAAGCTATGGTGGTGTATTATTCGAATTTCCAAAGTATTATGTCTTATAGTGTGTTGTTCTGGGCAACTTCCCCAGGAGCTGAACGAATACTTATAATACAAAAAAAGAATTTTAAAGTTTAAAGAATTATAAATAATAATTGTCTATTCGCTGTATATCTATAGATGTCTTATTTTCATAAAACAAAACATGAATAATGTGTCGTGTAGGGCGTAGAGCACTGCACAAGTACGTATAGCATCGTATGAACACAAGTACGAAGATCCACGTTGCAAATTACTGTTTTAAATTAAAACAAAAGAGAGAAACTTTTTACTTGCGTGTTATATTAAATTAGTATCAGTACCGGTTTTGAATTAAAAAATTCATCATCACCTGAATCTAAATTAGACAATGAAAGTCACAATTATTATATCATATAAGGAAATTTTCTTCGGTTTTATCACCCAAATTGTAAATGGTGGAAATTAATGAAATCGTACTTTACGGTGATATAAATTTATTCGCTCAACCGGTTTCGATATTTTACAATATCATCATCAAGAGTTCCTATTGAAAAACAGTGAACAAAATCAAAATTACAATCATATAAACTTAAATCAAAAAATAAAATTACATTGACATAACCCAGAAAACTTACGTCGGGCATGGTCTTTTAAAACAGATTAAGAATGTTGGTATCATTACAACACCAGCTGTAAACGATCAATTATTCACGTATAATCACACAAGTATGTTGTTAAACGTTGAAAAATGAAAAACAACTTGTGACCGGTAAATTATAAAAGTAAGCATGTACAAGGTGAAGTGTCACATGAAGTTAGCTAATAATAAAAGGGGAGCGGCAAATTAAAAAAAAAAAAAAAAAATTCAAACATTACTTTTTGTTATACTCCAAGAATTCTAACAAGCTAAAGAGATTCTTCATTCAAAGATAGGTATCATATAATCACATATCCAAAACAAAACACCATCACATAAACCCAAGAAAAATAAGCGATGTGGGAAGATCATTTATAAATTTTCTTGGGTTCAACAACAGCCGACTATCTAAAAATTCGTCTAATAGGTAGATGAAGGGAGACGAAGGGATAACATATAATGGGTAGGAGAAAAGTAGGAAAAAGGGGGGGGGGGGAGGTAGGAGTAATAAGGAAGGTAGCCAAGGAATCCAGAATCGGTGCGATATGAAAATGCTACCATGTTTCGTATCCTCGTCCGTCTGGGGATCTGGGAGGGGTGTATGGTTGACGAAGGTCCAAATATAATGGCCTTTGGGTCAGCTGGAGTTGGTCATTCAGACATTCAATTTCGGGGTTGTTCTTCTTAAATTTTCCTATTTCATAGGCTTCCAGAATCTCAAGTAGATATCCTTTATTCTGTTGATGTAATAATGTGGTGTTATCTCTATCATGGAAGTCATGGTTGAATTCCAGTAAATGTCTGCCAAAATTGGAACTGGTTCTGGTTTTGTGTTCTTTAATCCTGGTACGTAAGGATCTACCAGTTTCTCCTATGTAAACTGCCTCACAAGTCGAACAGTCGAGTTTATACACACCATTATTGTCCAATTTGTCGATAGTGTCTTTGTTCTTCGTCAATGTTTCGCCAACAGTAGGTTCGTTCCAACCGCACAAATTTGACTCGTCGTGTACGCGTACACGACTAGTACAGGACTTTTTTCTGCGCATGTTCGTCCGTGGACACGTTCGTGTACGAGTACATTTCGTCAACGCTGTTGGAACGGTTTTCAATTTCTATGTACGTTTTATATCCAACCCTGCCGATAGTTAGCGCTGCAACCACAATTTACCATTTCAAACGAAATCCATTTAATCATTTTTTTAACAATAATGAACTAAAGTAGCATTAATTACAAATGTAAAAAAAGCGTAATAACCCCATAATAACCCTTACTAGAAAAATGAAATAAAAATATGCATGTTTTTTCACTTTTTTGATTAAGTTGTCTATGAAACTTATCATAAAACATACATATAAAATAAAAGTTCTTAAAAATTTGTTAAACAAAACACCAGAAACATGTAAAAGAGTAGAGAATAATCCAAATGTACAGGTGTCCAAATTTTGATGGGTTTGCAGGGTATCTCAGTTATTATGAACGATAGAAAGTTGCGGCTTTCGCGAACCTGAACTACTAGTTTTGTGAAACTTACAATGGCGCAAACCAAATTTTCATAGCCCTCTTCGTTTTTGATGAGTGTTTGATATTTACGATTTTCAGACACCTCCTGTATCTCGGCTATCCGGAAACTTAGTAGAAAAGTAAAAACGGGTTCTACTAGATTTTTTCACGTGGAATCCAATGGTGCACGTAGAATTTTTCTAGTCATCACGGTTTTTGAGTTTTTGAGACAACTCAAATACTGTATACTCAACTTCTAAAATACTTAACTCTTAATAACTCAAAAACCGTGACGACTAGAAAAATTCTACATGCACCATTGGATTCTACGTGAAAAAATCTATTAGAACCCGTTTTTACGTTTCCGGATAGCTGAGATACAGGAGGTGTCTGAAAATCGTAAATTTGGAAACACTCCCTGTATATCAAAAACGAAGAGGGCTATGAAAATTTGGTTTGCGCCATTGTAAGTTTCACAAAAAAGTAGCTCAGGTTCGCGAAAGCCGCAACTTTCTATCTTTCATAATAACTGAGATACCCTACAAACCCATCGAAATTTGGACACCCTGTACATAGTCTGTCACGACGAGCTGAGTCTATATGTATATGGCAAACTACCTGCACTATTTTTGTGAAAATTTGCATATGGGTTTACCCGAAGTTCTCGTTTCAGCTCAAATATTTTCAGATTTCTCCAACTTCCGGTTATACCGGAAATGGACCCTAACTTCGTTATTTTAACAACTTTTATTGAATTTTCGAGATCCCCGCCAAATTTTAATACAATTTGATATAAGTCATCATATGTCTTTCATGTCATTTTTCAATTATTTCAGTCTTTTCGAAAATTTTGGCAGATGCAACCCTTCACAATAAATATAATTTTTCGAAATTACGGTCGAGTCCGGCCAAATATTGTCAAAGTTTGCACAGAGACGACCCACAGCTTACATAATACTTGAAAAGCAACCCCAAATTGGGGTTGCCATTTAAAAAGATGAAATTTTCGACTTTTCGAGATAGGGAAATTCGGGGCAAATTTCTGACAACTCTGTATAATTTTTCAAAAAACTTTTAAAGGGTTATGTAACCTATGGGTCCTCTCTGTGCAAACCCTGAGAATATTTGGCCGGACTCCTGTAATTTCGAAAAATTACTTTCATTATGAAGGGTTGCATCTGCCATAATTTTCGAAAAAACTGAAATAATTCATAAATGGTGCACTCTAGACATATGATGACTTGTATCAAATTGTATTAAAATTTAGTGTGGATCTCAAAAATTCTATAAAAATTGGTGCATTCCATTTAAAATAACGAAGTTGGGTCCATTTCCGGTATAACCGGAAGTTGGAGAAAACTGAAAATATTTTAGCTGAAACGAGCACCTCGGATAAACGCTATATACAAATTTTCAGAGAAATAGTGCCAGTAGTTTGCCACATAGATATAGACTCAGCTCGTCGTGACAGACACGCTTGATGGTAAAGATACCCATAAGAGATACAAACAGACCGGCTGCACAATTGGAAATGAGTTATGCGCTGATATGCGCAAGCGCTAAAGAACGTGACAAACCGTACATCGTCGAAACCAGGTACGCATTTGACTTGTCGCGTACTCGTACATGAACGCGTCCGACGGTCGTTGGAACTCATGACAACTTGTCGCCGACCAGTCCGCGGCACGTCCACGGGTCGGATGGAACAGCACTTTTCAACTGCGCAGGCTGGTGACTGTCAATTGGCAGTCAAAAGTGCGGTTGGAACGAACCTTATAAAACACACGTTTTAATTTTTGTGAAAAGTTACCTTGATACTTCATTGACCTGTAAATGGGGTTTCTGTCGTTGGATGTGTTTATCAAGGACGTGTGACTATCTAGGTTCCGCTTATGTTGCTGTTTCTGAACTAACTTATCAATAATGTGCACTGGAAAGCCATTCTTTATAGCGATCTGTTTTATAATACAAATTTCTTTATTCAAACTGTCCTCGTCAAGTTCTGAGTTGAACGCTCTATGTGTAAAGGCTCTATAGGCAGCTATTTTATGGGTATAATTATGAAAAGAATCGAAAGGTATGGTGATATCAGTTTGGGTCGGTTTTCTATATATGTCAAATTTAAGAGTGTTATTAATTTTGGAAATTGTAAGATCGAGGAAATTAAGCGTATTGTTCTGTTCTTTTTCAATCGTGAATTTTAAGTTGTTATGTAGAGAATTCAAAAACAGATGAAAGTCGTTAATAATGGTTTCATTTTTCGTATCTAGGATAACAAAGATGTCATCGACGTACCTAGACCAGGTGATAATGTGTCTTTTAAATGGGCTCATATCGTTGTTCAGAATAAGATCGTTTTCTATTGAATCAAGGAAAAGGTCTGACAAGAAACAGCTCAGCGGTGAGCCCATAGGTAGTCCTTCTTGAAATCTGTAAATGTTATTGTTGAAAGAACAAAAATTCTGTTCAATGCAAACTTGATAGAGTTTATGAATATGGTCTGACAATAAATCGTTCTTCAATTCCACCGTTAGTAACTTTTTAAGTAGAATAAGTGTTTCTTTAGTTGGTATGTTTGTATATTGCATGTTGGTATGCATATTTATGACCTTTACTTATTTTATTTTATGGTTTGTTGATTGGTTTAATAACATACTTGTGT